CAACCCAATCCCCACTTCTCCCAAAACCAAGTTTTATTAACATTTTAACATAATAAAAAAATGTGCAAACTGTAAACTCAAAAACAGATTGTTGGTTTTTAATGTGTATAAAATTTTTGGTTTTAAATGAAATTAATAAACAATTTAAACTAAACTAATCTAATCTACATCACCTCAGCTGAAAATCTAAATGGTTTTAATTGGATATAAAATGAATATACACTCTCACCAACCCAATCCCCACTTCTCCCAAAACCAAGTTTTATTAACATTTTAACATAATAAAAAAATGTGCAAACTGTAAACTCAAAAACAGATTGTTGGATTTACTTAAGTTATGTTAACAATTCAATAAGTAAGTGTAACGCAACTTTCACAATTTATTTCAATGTAAATGTGCAAGTTGTTTTACATTTACTCCACTCAGTTTAATGGAAATTGTAAATCCAACAATCTGTTTTTTTAGTGTAGATTTAAGAGTTCTTAAAATAAAAAAGCTGTTTTTCATCCTATTAAAGAGAGTGATTTATATATGAAGAGGTAAACTTCATCTTCCTGGGAGACACTTCAATTAATCAAGCAAAAATCAATAACAAAAATGATAGAATTAAATAAAACAAATGTTCATTTAATTTTGAAAACATGCAAACACTTAGATAAATGCTTTTTAACCTGCATGCATTAAAAGCTACCATCAGAACCACCCTTCTCAGTGGATAACGCATCCATATTTCATGGCCTTTTAAGAGTTCGACATTTTAATTCCCACAGTACCCAACCCATCCCATGTGCACTTATAGCTTCTTCACGTTATACGATTTGTACCCCAACAACAGTAATAACAAGTGGTTTTTGTTTTCTCACAGCCTATAACAGCATAAATAAAATCATCTTCCAACACTTGGGCCATTGGATGTGCAGTGAACATTAATGACCAACTCCGTTTGTTTCCACTGGCTTCTGTTTGGTGGTACTGCATGAACAGCTCATGCATGAACATTCTCATTGTCTGACTCATTAGGGCTTTTTTGATTTTACACAGTATGGAGACTATGACCCTGATGTTCACAAACCAGGCTTCTTGGCTGAGGAGGAGCTGCTGCCAAAGAGGGTGAGTGAAAGCTGCTTTTCTAACCATCAGCCATAAATAAAGAGGGCTATATGTTTGTTAAATGATCTTATTCCATGCCTGAATGGTACTCTGATGCCTGTAGCTGTTTATGTACATATGTGTTGGTCTTTTTTGCATTTCAGGTCATTAATTTGTACCAGATGACAGCAGAAATGTGGGAGGAGAGGATCACTGCATGTTATGCTGAGCACAGGGGTAGGACAAGGTAAAACTGGCTGCTTAGATTTAGAGTTTATACGAGGCTCGCTAAGGACTTGGTTCGAAATAAATATTGTTTATGCAAAACTGGAGTCTGCTTTAGCACCGAGATGCAAAAAAACCTGCAGAAATGTTAGCAAAAGCACCGTGGATCTCAGCCAAAACACTCATTATTGCCTTTAGGGAATTTTGCTGGCGTATGATAATGGTACTGTTATATTTGTTGTAGTAGAATTACAATAACAGGGCGATGTAATTGGGTCATCGGGATGATGCGCTCTGCTAACCTGAGCTAAATTTAAAATGGACGTGAGTAGTTTTGGGTAAGGTGTTCTCAAAGACTCTGAGTGAGAGAATATTTGTCTGGAAAGTGAGTTCTAATAGACGTCCTGATGCATCTCAGTAATCCAGGTAAAAAATCAAAAAGAAAAAAATTGTATAGGTCTTCTGGAGGGGTTCTTCTCTAATGAAACGTTTCGTCTCTCCTCCAAGAGACTTCTTCAGTCTGAGAGTTTCAGGCAAAATTCAGGCTTTTAAGCCC